GAGAAAGGTGACAACAGTAGGAGAAAGGTGAGGCCAGAGAGGTGACAGGGTGGTCAGGACTTGACCTGTAATCTTTGAGAAAGAATGGTGGGCTTTGAATTGTACGCCTTAATTGGTCGATTGTTTGGTATATGAATTATATCTCATTAAAGCTGTTACCCTTGCCCTCTCCAAAATAAAAAACAAAACAAAATAAACATGGCGGGGGCATGTGTTGGATGGCTGCTCTGGAGGACAGATTGGGTTGAAGGCAGAAGGAAAGTTATGCAATCACAGGAACTTCTTAAAAGCAGTTATATGAATCTGGAGAGAGAATGATGACTTGAAATAGGCACGTGAGGATGGAGCACTGGGCAAGTGCTAAAGATGATCAGGAGCAAGATGCCTGGTGTGTGGTTAGGCATTTGGAAAATGCAAAGATTTCTTGCTATGGGGAATGAGGAATAATTGATCAGATTTCACTCACTGTATTTTGTGTAGAAGCCAGGTGTCCTTCAGAAAAGCTAGCTTGATGAACTGAGATGATTAGAACTCAGGGACCAAAAGCTCAAGAGGGAGGGAGGGTCAAGCTTTTTTTGATAAGTGAATTTTAAACATGATCTAAAAGAAGTTATTTTTGAATTTTTACTTCATTCATAGTTAATTCTGCATGATTCATTTCTTAATCCTGTAATGGGAAAGATAAGTTTCCTGCAGATAGAGATGTTTTGGCAACCTTTCTTTCTTGCATAGCACAGTGTGCTATTGACTGTTACCGTCTGTGGCAGATCAGAAGTCATGGCTACAGTAAGTATATATTACCTACAGTGAAGCAGTTTGCAATTTGTAAGTGCATGTACACATGGCATACTTAATTCTTAGCAGTAGCCTTATGTGTTGTCTTATTTTCAGCAGTGCAACTGTGACTCAAGATAGGTAGAGTGATTTACCTAAAGCACACAGCACATGTTTAGACCTTGGATTTTGACTTCCCAGTCCATTGTTAAGCATTTCTATCATAGGGTCACATTTTCTGGGACAGCTTCAGTGGTGACAGGAAGTGGTTTCCTTAAATGAGGTTTGAATTGAGCATGCCTAAAAGTTTTGGTACTTTGTCTTGGTTTTGAGAAGTATGTGAGGTGTTTCTTTCTTCATTTTGAAGAGGTAACAAGATGTTTGTAGAGGTTGAACTAACCCAAAGTAAAGCTGCATCATTGACTGTTGAAGGCCTTGACCCTGGTTAGATTAAAACTAAATTAAGTCAGCTGGCTAACTTTTATCAGTTAAGATAAAATCACATAGTTTAGTTTGGTAATCAGGAAACTAGTAAAAGGAATATCCTTTTTATTTCAGTGAACCCTGGAGTACTGCTTTTGGAAATGTATAATTTATGAATTTGTATTATGTATAGTCCTACTCAAACATGAAGAATGAATGTTTTTGTGAGTGCTAAAAATTTTATCAGAAATTTTATTTCATTCATTTCTTGGTGATCCATCTCATTTAGTCTCATGGCTTTACAAATCAAATTAAAATTAAACCTTTGACACAGGTGTGTGGATCTCTTTTGTTTATGGCCTCTATCACTCCCTGGAATAGAAACTCTATGAAGTCAGAGATTTTCTTGTATTTCTCTATTGTTTCCTAACACCAAGAGCAGTAAATAGTACAGAGTAAGCATTCACTGGACATTTGTTCAATAAATGCCTGACACTCGTGAATCTGAGTTGTGTTCTAGATTATGGATTGCTTTCCTTTTATTGTTATTTAAAGTATGTTATACTGTGTTTCCTGCTTCACTAGGAGATGGATACATCTTCATATTTTTGGCTTTTCTTACTGAAGAAAAGCATCATTTTACAGGGGAAAGAAGTAAGGCAGAGTGAGTGTGTTTCCCAAATATGTGTTTGTGAATTATCAGCATATGTTAACATGTAGGAAAGAGGGTGCCTGTGAAGGGTTGGATCCCCAGCAGCCCAGGGAGCAGATCAGATCAGATTCACAGTGTAAGAACTGCTGTAGAATCCTGCCTTGCTCATTGGTTGTGTGGCCTTGTGCAGGCGAGCTGTTTTGTAGTCTGTAAAGTGGAGATGACAGCTTCTGTCCAAGTCACATTACAGAGTTGTTGAAAGAATCAAATTAGGGATCTGCTTCATAAACCTTAGGTTGCTATAATGATGGTTGTTTTTGTATTGCTACCCTGTAGATCATTATCATCAAGTAGAAGCCACAGCTGTCCTTGGTATCATTTGGTTCCTCTCTGGGTCTCTCTCTTTTTTTTTTTTTTTTTCAAAGATAGCAATATTATGAATCACTGTATACTGAGGCTTGGAAAAAATTTGATTAATATGTTAAGTGCAGAGGAGGAAAAAAATATATCTCTAATGAGCTATATTTTAGAGCCAGGTAAAAGAGGTAATTGGATTGACTTTGGCTTTGTATTACCCATGTTCTTAATTATCTGAAACTTGACTATAAATGTCTCTTTATTACACATTGTAAATTTATATATAAATAACATAATATAACTGGGTGTGGTGGTTGCAGGCCTGTGATCTCAGTGACTCAGGAGGCTGAGGTAGGACAATTGCAAGTTCAAGGACAGCCTCAGCAACTTTGTGAGACCCTGTCTGAAAATAAAAAGAGAGCTGGGGTATACCTCAGTGGTAAATTACCCCAGTGGTAAATTAATTCAATTGCCAGTAACCCCCAATAAGAAAAAGAATATATATTAAATATGAATTTATATGTCTATTGTATAAATATAGCCAACATTTACATAAACAGAAACAGTGATCTTATATTAACCCATATGCTGGATTTCATTTTGTGAGTATCTTCTCCATTAATTGAGAAAATTTAGAAGAATGTAAAAACCACATTCTTCTTCCAAATTTGAATTTTTTAACTTTCTTGCTCACTTTTAGCAAAAAGAACTCTTTTCTTTGTGAATAGAAATTGATGTATACTTTCTATAATGAATAGTATTTAATGTTCAATTGGATTTATTATTTTTTCTTCTCTGAGTGCTAAAATAAGATTTTAAAATAGAGTTTTCTGGAACGGTTGTCTTGTTAATCCTAGGGAGAATGATCTTTTTTTTAAACCTATGAGAAGTATTTCCATTCTGAACTGCAACTTAGAGGAGCTTTCAGTTTACAATTCTCATCCTTTTTGGGCTCCTGGTAGACTTTGATAGGTTTAGAATGTCAAAGAGTAATATGGATGAATCAGTCTGGTAGTTATTTTTCTTATGTGATTGAGTTGTTCATGTTCTAAACTTAAGCCTGATGGAAAAAAATAGTATGTCTCTTTGTGTATTTTATTTTATTTTATTTTTTTTTTAAATTTTTTTAATTGTTGATGGTCACAATACCTTTATTTTTTATTTGTATGTGGTGTCAGGGATCGAACTCTGTATCTCACACATGCTAGGCAAGTGCTCTACCACTGAGCCACAACCCCAGCCCCTCTTTGTGTATTTTAAATTGCTAATACCAGTGGCGTGCCTGTCTGTTTAGCAGATGCTTCATTTGGGCAATGGAATATGCCTAGGAAACTGAAGGCCTGTCTGAGAATAAGTCTCTGATGTGGAAAGAAGTGCTCTGGTTTGTACTGCATGCTTCTGGTCTTTTGACCTGCTTATAGTTGGTCAGTGTGACTGTCCCTTCCTTGATACCATCCAAAGGTGCTGATTAACATTGTTTTATTCTGAATTTTTAAGGGTGTTTGACTTGCTTATGGGTAGGTCTTATCTGATATTAGATTTGATCCATAAATTTTGGGAAGTCTGTGATAATTTTTATGGTTTTGGCATGATCCAAGAGAATTTCTCTGCATCTAAGGCAAATGGATTTCTGTTGTATAAGTAAACAGGATTGATCTTTTATTTGTTTGCATGTGGTGTTTCCTATTTGGCCTTCATGGCATGAGAAACAGATGGCTCTCAGATTGATCACTTGCCTCCTTTCTTTGCATTTGAGCATTGAGCACAAGAATCCCAAGCTCTTCTTAGTTCTGAACATGTGGCATCTAGATAGTGTTAATAAAGATTGTTGACAAAATGAGATAGGCTATCAGGGAAGATGGTGGGAAATTATACAAGGTAAATTATTGGTTTTTAGGAGTCTCAAACTGACTTGTAAACAAAAAGTGTTTTTTAACTTATAATACAACTTTTATAAGAATTATGTTGAGTTGGGACTTGGGGAATTCTCTGTTCTCATTGCAGGCCCTTAAAAACTTCAGACTTGTTAGGTTTAGTTCTAGAGGAATTTATTGGGGAAGCAATTAATCGTGGGAATTTGGAAGAATGTGAAAACCACATAATAGTCCCTAAAGCTGGAAGGTTGTTTTTAGAAGCAGTTAGTTTTGTTAAGGCAGAAATAATAAATCTTTTCAGAAACCAATTTTCTGAGACATAACTGAGAAAATGTGTAAGATATAATTAAAGGTAGTTGAAAGGCCCTTGTTTTGAAGCTGTCATTTTCATTTGAGCCAGATGTTGTGTTTATTCTTGTAAGGAGCTCTGGAAATTTGGAGTAGTAGGTTGAGTCTTCAGAAGATAGTGCACTATGTGACATCCTGGAATGTTCCCCACAGCTGTTCAAATTATTATTTTTTCAGGTGGAAATAATTTTATTGCATGTTCTTTCCATCTTTATATTTTGGGTTATGAAGTTCCTTTGGAAATTATTTCTGTTATATATTGACCACTGGGGTATATTTTACATTTTCTTTAAAAAGGAGAAAACAGTTGGTGTACAGAAATATAGTTTACTCATATATGTACAGACAGTTTTTATTCTTGATAGTAGAAATCCCCTGACCACTTGCTAGTTGAGCCCAAAAGTTGTATGTTGAAACTGCATGTCACTTGTTCTAGTTCCTAACGATGGCCTGTGGGAAGAGTTAGATCTAAAGCATGACTGATAGATCTGTTAAACATTATTTAAAGAAGGAAATAAGAGGAAACATTAAAGTAAAACCAATTTCTCCCTTTTTCCCCCCCACTCTGGTAGCATTTTTGAAACGTCGGGGTTGTTGGAGTGGTTGGATTTTCCCTGGAATTGAGTGAGAAATTCAGAAGACTGAAGCCCAGGCTTACTGTCTACCTTTCACGGAGGCCTAGCCGTGAGAGGACAGAAGAAGGCACGTGGAGAATCATGACAGCAGACAAAGACAAAGACAAAGACAAGGACCGAGACCGAGACCGGGACCGAGAGAGAGAAAAAAGAGACAAAGCAAGAGAGAGTGAGAATTCAAGGCCACGCAGGAGCTGTACCTTGGAAGGAGGAGCCAAAAATTATGCTGAGAGTGATCACAGTGAAGATGAGGACAATGACAACAATAGTGCCACCACAGAGGAGTCCACAAAGAAGAACAAAAAGAAACCACCAAAAAAAAAATCTCGTTATGAAAGGACAGATACAGGAGAGATAACATCCTACATCACTGAGGACGATGTGGTCTACAGGCCAGGAGGTAAGGAGCCCTTGAGTTGCCAGGGTGCTTGTGGGAGAGGTTAACCACAGTGTGGAGAGAAGGTAAACCCTGTGTTATGGTGAGGAGGCCTTGAACTAGGCAAGCAGACAGTAGTTTGGGCTAGGGAAACTAAGGTAGTGAACGCGGGAGCCACTTTCTTGCTTGTGTTTTATTGACTTGGCTTCCTGTCCTGGTTGTGCATTTTTAAATTCTTCCCTTGTTTTCCTCATGCTGCTTGCTCTCTCATTTAATTCTATGCTTAGTATTTTTTGTCTTTTTGGATCCATCCTTGCTTTTCATCTTCAACTACAAATTGGGCTGTGATGACCCTGCAGAATGAAAAACATACATGGCAAACTTGAGTAAACCTGAAGATGCTTGAAATCACAGTTTTACATGGGAACAACATTGACCAGAAGCTAGAAAGTTATTTTTAATGGCCTCCTGACCAAGATTTATTTATTTATTTATTATTATTTTTTGGGTGGGGTGGGTACATGGGATTATGAACTTGAGAGCACTGGACCACTGAGCCACATCCCCAGCCCTATTTTGTATTTAGAGACAGGGTCGCACTGAGTGCTGAGGCAGCTTTTGAACTCGCAGTCCTGCCTCAGCCTTTCAATCTAGTGGGATTACAGGCGCGTGCCACCGTGCCTGGCCTGACCAAGGTTTATTGTTCCCCTTGACCTCCTTTTCCAAATAATTGAGCTTCAGGCTCACTAATAAGTGATAATACATGTAGTTTAACTAACCTGCATGGTTTTCTAGAAAATAAATTTTGACCCCTGAGAGTTTTGAAGCTTATGGCTTTGCTCAAGGAGGCAGACCCAGCTTTTAAATGAGATGCTTGGAAGTGAGTGTTTCAGAATGTGTTGGACACTAGTGAAGACATTTTTCATATAGGAGCCATAAAAACAGTGAAAGTCATTTTGTTTGAATTACTTACACTGCTGAGTAGTGACAACAGTTGCATAGATTTAATTAATAGGTCACTCAGTCTAATGTTTTTCCAAGACAGGGATTGAAGGACTTAACTATGTTATGTCATTAACCTGCCACAGTCATTTTAATGGGTGCTGTAGCTGTCTGAACTTCACAAAAAGTTCCAAACTATATTTTGGTACCATTGGAATTAGTTTTGATTTTCAAAAGATAACCAATATCAGAATTTACACAGACAAACCTGTATTCACAGCTATGATTTCTTGGTTGAAGATCAACAAAGAAGATATATATGTGACATCGAATTTTCAGAGTTGGAGTTTTAGTGGTAGAGTACTTTATCACTGGTATTCAGTGATAGAACACTTGCCTAGCATTCATGAGGACCTGAGATGGATCCCCAGCTCTGCAAATAAACACAGAGAAACAAGAACAGAAACAAAGGTGAAGGTTTTAGAGAAGTTGGAGTTTTGCTATGGAGATTTAATCTCATGTAGATTGTACTATCGGTATTTAGATATTGGACAGTAAGAATGCTTCCAACATTGTTCACTAAGGGCCTGTTTACTTCTAAATCCTGAGAAAGGAACAGAATGTGTTTAAACTGATTCAGATAATTATTACATTGTGATAAAAATAAGGGAAGTCATTTCGAGCCCCCACCCCCCAGCCCCTGCCCTGAGGAGTAGGGATTTAACCCAGGGAAGCTGTTGCCACTGAGCATCATTTCGACCCTTTTTATTTTGAGACAGGCTCTTGCTAAGTTGCTTTGGACCTCAGTAAGTTACTGAGGCTGGCCTTTAACTTGCAGTACTGCCTTTGCCTCCTGAGTCTCTGGGATAACAGGCATGTGCCACCACACCCAGCTCCTTTTCTCTTGATATAACGTGTTAGCACATTTAATATGTGGTCCTTCCTTGTCCAAATACCAGTTGCTGCATTTAGTGTCAATCCAGCCTTTCTCACCTTGTATAAGATGGGATGTTCCTTTTTTTTTTTTTTTTTTTGGGGGAAGAGCTGAGGATTGAACCTAGGGCCTTGTGCGTGCAAGGTAAGCACTCTACCAACTGAGCTATATCCGCAGTCCTGGGACATTAGTTTTGTGTAGTGTAGACCATTCACCAACATGTTAGTAGTCAGATATGTGCAGGAAATGCTCCCCAAACTGTCCCCTCATGAGTTGTATAATCAGTGACTCGAGAAGCCCTGCAGTTAAGGAAACATCTTAATATGAAAATCACCTGCTGTTTTCCCCATTTATGGGATCATGGCACCCTGTTTCTGTGGATTTCTCCCTAAGAAAAACTAGTTTTGAGAAGACGAATTTGGGAAATGTTGTACATTATTCTTGCACATGTTACACAATGGCAGGAAGTCTTTGTTTCTTGACCTTTCCAAGAATATGTGGAAGTACATTGCTAAAGGAGCATTTGTCAACAGTTCTTTACAATACTTTTATTCATTCACTATTTATTTGTTTGTTTATTTTGCTGAGGAGTGAATCCAGTGCCTCGTACATGTGAGGCAAATGCTCTGCCACTGAGCCGCAATCTCAGCCCTCAAATGGTTCTTTTTTGAAAAAAAAAAAACTCACAACACAAACAATTTTTAATTGGTTCTTTTTAGTTATATCAGATGAAGTGCTTTGGGAAGTAATGTGTACAGTCAGGCATCTCTCAATATACATGGGGGACTGGTTTCAGTTCCCTTTGGGTACCAAAGTCTACAGATGCTCAGGCCCTATATAACATGGTGTATGTGCACATAACCTATGCACATGCTCCTGATTATGCACTGCTCTAGATTACTTACATAATACATTGTAAATGCTATGTACATAGTTTGCTCTACTTTGTTGTTCAGGGAATAATGGAATTTCCTAATAGATACTGCTGTGGCATTCTATATCTTTCCTTCTAGCACTTGAAGCAGAAATAATTTTTTATTTATTTTCATTATTTAGAATTAACATCTGTCTCCTTCCTCCAGAATGGCAAATCTGTTTTTGCTTATCATAAAATTTCAGGCATCTTTGACAGAAGTTTATACATAATGGGTATTGCATAATACTTGTGGAATACATAATTTCTAAAAACATTTTTTAAAAAACTTACTATTACTGATGTTAGCCCTGAAATCCTGTCTTGAATCATTTATTTCCCAGTGAATGATTTAACAGACTCATTAAAAAACACCACCACCGGCCTGGTGTTGTGATTCAGCGGTAGAGTGCTCTCCTAGCTTGTGTGAGGCCCTGGATTTGATCATCAGCACCACATAAAAATAAATAAATAAAGGTATTGTGTCCAACTACAACTAAAAAATACATGTAAAACAAAACAAAAACAAACAAAACAAAAAACAACAAATACCACCACCACCAACAACAATATCAAAAAGCCCAAAACATTGTGTGGCTATGTACCACTCTTGTGATCTTACTTCTTTGTCGTCTTTCATCTGTAACTCTACTGTTCAGAAGACTGTCACAGTAATGGATTGATTTATTACTCGGCTGTGTGCTGCCAGATTAACCTTCTGGGCTTCCTGAGCATGGGATATCGATTTCTAGTTTGCTGTAGGTGGCATATTAATTTCTTTCTGTTACTTTCAGTAAATACTAGGGAGTTTCATTCATGTATTCCTGATCCAGGTAGAAGTGGTCAGAAAGTTAAATTCTTATTGGGGGGGGCACTAAAAATTTTGGCATATGTGTGTTGTCTGTTATTTGGATAAGGAACCAAGTTCTTGCAGAACTGGTTAATTGTAATATAAGTGACTTTAAAAAAAAAAAGGGAAGATGTTCTTTGAAACATGCTTCCTGTTAAGCTGGTTCTCTCTTGCTTGTATTCTGTCATATCAGCTTATAATTTTGTGACTGCTGTTACTTTAGATATAGTCCTTGGATGACAGAAATCTGCAGTGCATACAAGAGAGGGAAAGGAAAAAAGTCAAAATTCAGGGGTTTTTTTTGGGGGGGGGCGGGGGTGGAGGGATTACAGGTACTGGGGATTAAACCCAGGGGCACTTTACCACTGAACTATATGTTCCCCCAACTCAGCCCTTGTAATTTTTAAATCTTGAGACAGGGTCTCACTGTATTGCTCAGACCGGCCTGGAATTCATAATCCTAATTTAGCCTTCTGAGTAGTTGAGATTACAGATGTGCACCATGGCATCCAGCCCCAAATTTGAGTTTTTCAAGTTTTTATCATCTATATGCATCTACAGATATCAATTCTAAAATAATAGAAATAAATGGAAAATGATTACTGGTATAAGTGCTAGAAGGAAAGACATAGAATGCCGTGGCACTAACTATTAGAAAATTCTGCCTTTTCATGAACAAAGTGTGAAATTTAATTTTTTATGAAGATAAGTTTTATATATAAGAAACAAAGAACTGAAATTTGTGGTTATGGAACTTTAATTTGGTCTAGAACATTGCCTCCTTTTTTATCACTTTTTTATCAGCTTTAATTTACTGAAAATATTAATAGGTGTTATCACTGAGGCAATCACAGTTATTTTACTCTGTTTCAATTTTAATTACTAATATCTAAAACAATCAAGTCACACATCTTGTTTCATACAATTACATATATGTAAGTTACAGAAAGGCTAAGATGGCCACAGGGTTTCAGGGTCATGCACAGACCCTTGAAACAAAGGCAAGGAGCAGGTACAATTGCAAAGAGTCACTGCAGGTGGTCACATAAGGGTTTTAGCCCACCAGTTCACATGGCAGAGTAGAGGGAGTATCCTAGGGACAGGTGGTTTCACAGTGCCAGCTGCAAGTGTCAATTCAAAATGGTCCATTTGTCACAGGAGAAATCTCATTGAACTGAAACCCAATACAGAGTTGGAGTTGCTGTGGCATTGGTCCTGGGCAAAGGTTCTGATAAGTGACCAGTTGACAGAGTCAGTGTGTTGCTATACCGCTATCGTACGTCCTTCCTTTTATGTGTTTCAGAAGAGAGTTGCATCATTCAGTGGTCTGATGTGTTTGATGAGCTCAGAGTCAGGTGTGGTTTCTCTGATATTGTGTTTGATAT